TATGACCCTCCAGCAAACAAATATAGATACTGAAGAAATGATGGGAGAATAAAAGGAACATTGTCTACAAATGGTGGCTTTAGTTTTATTTATAATATTATATATGTATGTATATATATATATATATGTGTGTGTATTATATCCATATTTATCCCAACAGACGCAGAGTTTTCCAGGTCCCCCACCCCAGCTTCCCCGAGGGCACCCTCCTCATCAGTGCCGGACTCCAAGATGTCGATTCGAGCCTTGGTGGTCATGGTGGCTGCATCCCCCAGCCATACCTGGAGATATCTGGAGATATTCCGCCAGTTCTGGTGGCTTGGAATATGGATACCAGGATACCATCTGGTAAACTAACATAGCTATTGAAAATGGCCATTTATAGTCGATTTTCCCATGAAAAATGGTGATTTTTCCATAGCTATGTTAAATTACCAGAGGGTATCACAAATACTACTAATATTACTTAATATGTATATGGAATATGAATATGACATGATATGAAGCACCCCCAGGTACTTACTATGACCCCAACTAATTTCTATGACCCCAACTAATTTGATATGGACCCTGAGAATAGCCAAGGTCTTATTAAACGTAATCTTCCAACTACCCATTTGGCCAGGTCCTCATGTTGGGTAACAATGTGGGCCAACATTCCGATGTTTGTTGGTGAGCATCACATCCCTATGCTGGTCGAAATCCCAATGATTGTTGGTGAATATCACATTGCGCACTGTCGTTTCTGTGGCTTTGCCAGATCTCGACGGCTTATCCCCCCATGTTTGTTAGACCCCACATGACTCCGCCATTTTGGGGGACTAACCTACATACACATATATATACATAAATATATATGCATACAAATTGCGTATAAATTTATGTGTATGTGTACAAACATATATATATATATATTTATTTATATAATTATACACATACACATAGCTGTATACCATTCTTGCCTCGGCAATTTTTCCCCATACAACTACAACTTGTTATTGTTGTTGTTCTTCTTGTTGTTGTTGTTGTTGTTGGTTGTTGTTGGTTGTTGGTTGTTGGTTGTTGGTTGTTGGTTGTTGGTTGTTGGTTGTTGGTTGTTGTTGTTGGCTGTTGGCTGTTGGCTGTTGGCTGTTGGCTGTTGGCTGTTGTTTGTTGTTTGTTGTTTGTTGTTTGTTGTTTGTTGTTTGTTGTTGTTGTTGTTGTTGTTGTTGGTTGTTTGGTTGTTTGGTTGTTTGGTTGTTTGGTTGTTTGGTTGTTTGGTTGTTTGGTTGTTTGGTTGTTTGGTTGTTTGGTTGTTTGGTTGTTTGGTTGTTTGGTTGTTTGGTTGTTTGGTTGTTTGGTTGTTTGGTTGTTTGGTTGTTTGGTTGTTTGGTTGTGGTGGTTGTGGTGGTTGTGGTGGTTGTGGTGGTTGTGGTTGTTGTGGTTGTTGTGGTTGTTGTGGTGGTTGTGGTGGTTGTGGTGGTTGTGGTTGTTGTGGTTGTTGTGGTTGTTGTGGTTGTTGTGGTTGTTGTGGTTGTTGTGGTTGTTGTGGTTGTCGTGGTTGTCGTGGTTGTTGTTGTGATTGTTGTGGTTGTTGTGGTTGTTGTGGTTGTTGTGGTTGTTGTGGTTGTTGTGGTTGTTGTTGTTGCTGTGGTTGTTGTTGTTGCTGTTGTTGTTGTTGGTGGTGTTGTTGTTTTTTTTGTTGTTGTTTTTGTTGTTGTTTTTGTTGTTGTTTTTGTTTTTGTTGTTGTTGTTGTTGTTGTGTTGTTTTTGTTTTTGTTGTTGTTGTTGTTGTTGTGTTGTTTTGTCGTTTATTTGTTTACTTGTTTACTTGTTTACTTGATTACTTGTTTACTTGTTTACTTGATTACTTGTTTACTTGATTACTTGATTACTTGTTTACTTGATTACTTGTTTACTTGTTTACTTGTATACTTATTTATTACGTCGGTAAGCCAACGGCCGCATGTCGCATCTCATTTCGCTAGGAGATGTGACCTTCATTACTGTCTACTGTTGGTTCATCTCTATGGCCTGCCTCGACTGTATCATCAAGGTGGGCTGACCCCAAAATGATGGAATGTGGTGGGGTAGTTGCGAGGAAACCCATGGAAAACTAACGGAAAATCAATGAAAACCCAGGGAAAAACCATTGGTTTGGGTGTCCCCCCTTTGAAGAACCCCCCAGAACTCAGACATGATAGATGTTGGACATGCAAGTAATTACTATCCTTATGATTGAAAAAACAGTGTTTAATTATTGTGCTGTGTGTGGGTGTGTCTCTGTTGCAGGAAGATGGTAGTATTTATGGACAGCACAGATGCAGGTAGACCCAAGTAGAAATGGATGGATGAACCCTAAATCCGCATATGGCAAGTTGCTTCTGATTTGTTGACTTGAGTGCACATGCTGGAATATCGAAGTAATACTGCATGCATACTTTGGCCCTTAATGTATTTGGAAACATAGGCAGCAGCCAGCAGTCATTATGATTTTTGGGAGGCAAAGTACCAATTCTTGTCACTAAATTGATGCTTTGGGTACGTGAAAAAGATCCTACGGTGTGTGCATGTGCCCATGTAATCCAATCCCCCTAATATGAATCACCCCCTAGCAACCTTGCCTTGGGGTTTATCTACAATCTATTCATTTCCGGCTCCCATTTCTGGGGTATTTAATGTGATAAATCCAAGAATGAAACCATCCCCAACATCACAGCAAAGGGGTGGCATAAAGCACCCCTCCCAATTACAAGCTTTATTATTGGGTTTCCCACATTAAGGACTATTAATATTATTAATGGGGGAGTATGGTAAGAACTTCCATAAGTTGCTACATATCCCCTACAACCATGCTTGTACAAGCCAGCGGAACTGCTTTCCCAAATGGCAGCCAGTTTGCTCCAAATCTCTGTGGCTTATCGCCATGGACGCTGACTTGAAAACTGCCTTGAGAAATCTGCGTTTACGCGCGCCAGCGGGCAAAGCCGATGAAGAGGTCAAACCGGGCTCAAACCGGGTTCCAGTGGTGAAAATGGGGATCTATGAAACTGTAATCAGCTGTTTTTGTTGGGATGCAAATGCAATCAGTGAAGAGTCAGGGACAATATATATATATATATATATATTAATATATATATATATTATAATTATGTATATTAAAAATGGGATGCGCAAGTAATGTATACTGACTATTCCAGCCGATCATGATGAAATCGGATGGGTTTCAGGACAGCAAAAGCTGTATCGTTGTAACCATAGTTGGAAAGGTCCCTTAATGGGTTTATACTACCCTAATCCAGTGATAGCTGAGGCAAATACGTGCTTACATAATTACCAGTTCTATAATGTTATATGTTATATACTTGTGTACCCTTTGTCGTTGCTGGTATCCTTTGCGGGCACTTCTAACTTCTAACCTGATTCTTTGATTTGTGTTTTCAGTGCTAGGCCCCAGGACTGAAACTAGTTAATTATGGAGGTCCCAATTAACAGACGTATCAGCCATTTGAAAGGGCAAAGAATCCTGTCATAGCTGGAGCAACGACAATCATTGCACACTGCACATCAACCGTTTTATATCATTTTTGATCTGAATGCGCACGAAGTGCGCGAAAATTGCCACTCAAATCGTTCAAATCTACTGGGATCAATCCTCCCAGTTGGTTGTACCCAGCAACTTCGTTCGATGAATTACCAAATTAAAAGAGCGAGAACTGCGTCTGAAAATGTTGGTTACCTTTCCCATCAGCTGGATGGACCATTTGCAACTAGAGTCTGTTGCTTGGCTCCTCCTAGTAACCATCAACCGGCAATATGGACTCCTCCCAACAACCACGAGGATTAATCTGTTTCAATGTTCATAGATTTCCATTAGACACAACAAAGCTTAGGCTTACACATGCAGTTATATAAAGACCATACGATGGCAGAGGATATCATATCATATCATGTTACATGTGGAATATCATATTTAACATACATCACAGTACTATAATAACAATTTCGGAATGCTCCCATAATCATTGGTAATAAATTGTAATAGTGACATTTAGGAAAATACGCATTATGACAAAAAGTTTTCTTCTAGCGATAAGATATTACAATAACTGATATGTGGTACCAAAGTAGTAACAATAGTATTATATAATATTACAACCAGACATCATGATATGATGTGATATTATATTATATGATATGATGTGATACAATATTGACACACACACATATATATATATATAATCCTGAATCCATCATCTCATTTTAAGGCAACATTTGCAGGACACCACCATTTTAATGGCGAAAAACCATGGTTTCCCGCAGATTTTCCCCATAAATCATCCCATCAGGACTTGATTTTGCTCTTCCACCGTTTCGCCCACCCCACGGAGCGCGGTGGTCGCCTATCCTGTGGCGAGCTGAAGCAACTGCTTCGGGCCGTGCAGGGCGACGACGAAACGGAACCGGAACTGCCCGAGGGCTTCCCGGAACGGCTCTATGAAGCGTGGGCACCACAGGGGGTGCCATTGAAGCTTGGTCATATTATGACTTCTGGTACTTCTGGGCCAACCATTTTTGACAACACCCCTGCGGATTTGTTGTTTTCCTTTTTCGGGGGATGGTGGGGGGTAGCCATATGACTTATGGATTTAGGAATGTTGAGGATGAAATTATGTTATGTGATGAGCTATGGCGATTAATTAATCATGATGAATTGTTTGTTTTTCAAAGTTTGCATCCCAAAATCCGGAGTCAAGATGATGTAGAGATTGAGGTCAATTGATGTCCTGAAGACGTGGCTTATGTCTCCATTTGCTAAAACCGTATTTTACCGCAAAAATTTTGGGGCCCATCTGTGTCCTGCTGCTTCACTGCTGGTTCACGTGAGGACCGAGGGTCGCTTTAAGGCTGGCTTCAAAGTTTACATGCAGCAGCGTGAGACGTGGTTGGAGCAATGGTGGCTAGCACTCAGTGGCGGCAACTCAAGCTAAGCTCCCAACCAAAGGCTGGTGACAGAGGTGAAAAAGGAGCATGGCATGGTGGAGTTTGAGTCTCGAGGTTTCAAATTCAGCAAGTATTTGAAATATGATCATGTTCTGCTTTGCTTCATTTGAACCTCATATCACCTCATATCAGGCGTCATCATCAAATTTGAACACTCCAAGTTCCTGACTCCAGACTTTCAAAAAAAAGGCAATAATACATACTGTAGCAAAAACACACAGTAATAGTAATAATAGTCCTCATCATGATAATATTTGTCGTCATCATCAACCGCTGAACTCCAAAGCTTCCCCGCTGCGCCAAGGCAATTTCAGGAGTTCTGCAACCAGCTGGCGGAGGACTTGGGCCATTTGAATCCTCCCATGAGTTTTCTGCAAGCCGTTTGGAGGGCGGCCATGCCTTCATCGACTGCGACCAGCAGCTCGAACAGTTCTCAGTTACTGCAGATATTGCAGGCGATCCAAAAAAACCCTTGGTGGTGCATGGTGTCAGTGGCACGGTCATGAAACCATCGATTTTGGGGAGGTTTAGCAATGAGTATGGGGATCTAAGCCGGGAAACATGGTTTGTTTTTCGGGTTGTACTCGCCAGTTTAAATGTAGTGGCACTTGTGTCATCGAATGGGAGGCAACGGGAGGCCTTATCAACCACCCAGCAGCTTGGATTTTCCAGCAGGTGAAGGAAATTGGACCCATCTCGGATGCTGCCTATGATGCCCTCCTCCAGGCCTATAGCGACCAATGGCAGTCTTGGTTGGAGGATTGGATTTCTGAACGGCAGGTGATCATGAACTTGCCAGATGAGGAGGCCAAACTGCCACACACAACATGCCTTGCAGCTCAAAGAATGATCAAGAGAGATGGTTTTGGCAAATCGGAAGCTGTCCCCGAGCAACCTTCAAATGGGTGAGACATATTGCAATTGTGGGATCATGACATGGCTGTTCAATGCAGTTTATATATCTGTAGTTTCATCCTCCATAAATCTGGACCGCAATCATGGTTTTAGCTGAAGTTTTGCCATCATCCACAACTTTAGACTGTTTTCATCTGTTTCAGCAGGCCGATTATGACCCCAGGCAGCAACTTTAGTCTTCCGATTGCAATAGCGCCTATGGTGCTAATATCTTTCCCACAGTTCATCCCTATGTGGCAACCCTTGGCACCACAAAGGGCCCCAGGTGAAACCCTGTGCCCCCTAGGACAAAGAGGTGAAGGCTGCCATGGTGGTGCAGCGTCATTTTCGCGCCTACCAAGCGCGAAAGGAAGTGAAGAGCAAGCGTTTGGAGATGTTCCTAGGAACCGAAGGGATGGGAAGGGCTTGGGGTCCTTGGTTCTGCCTTTAAATAGGTCCTTGGTAGGGTTGCCTCAAACCTCGCGGCAAATCTTCGGAACGAGGCTGCAGGGCTGCAGGGTGAATTCTTGAACTACAATTCTTTGCCATGTTCTTTTCACACAACGGTTGTGCAGAGGAGATTTGGCCGGCACAATGGGCAACCGCGCACGCTTTTCCAAGCTTTTCCTGCAGTTCAGTGGTGGCAAAAATCACTGGACAGGCGAGGACATGTCCAACTTCTGCTCAGCGATCTGGAAACAGGATGGTTCCGCGGCAATTGTTGGAGCATGGGGCAGGGGTTGGTTTGATTTTAGCCAGGGCACATGTCAATGCTGGCACTGATCTGGCTAAATACAGGGAACACAGATAATTTGAATTAATTTGATGATCATTTGAAGCAAAAATTGTTGAGTTTTTCTTCCAGATGAAGTATGGGGCATGTACAATATGGGGTCAAAGCGCAGCAAGAAGCTAAGCTATGGGCATTTTGATGAGCAGCTGATCATGACGACCGGAAAGTCTCGTAGTTTCTACAGGAAAAAGGGGTCTTCAAAAATTGACCCAGAAACAATCTGGACAATTCCAACAAAGAGATATTCTCTGTAGTTCAAATGTTTTCCTTCACATAGCGATCTCACTTGACGCGCATATATTAACAAAGGGGGGTCAAGCACCTTCAGCGTTCCAGTGTCAATGTTGCGCTCAGGTCTACCTCCACCTCCTCCAGCCTTCGGCTTTGATGCCTTGAAAAAGCTTCAGAGATTGGCCGTTGGCAAAGGCAAATCGGAAGAGGCCCTGGACGCTGGACAGGTGGTGACCGCTGTGGATTTCAGACGTGGATTGATGCTGTGGAATCAGAGGCCACCGGGGATGGTGGGAAAGATGCTGGGAAAGCATCAAGTGATTGTGGAGAGTGTTATTATAAGATGTTGTAAGATGTATGAAGATGTTCATTAAGCATCATTAAGAATCATTAAGCTAAGTAGAATGTTCATAGGGCACACATTTGAATCATCACCATCCGATTTGGGGATTCTATTTGTTCTTTGCTCCTTTGTCGCTTGTGTTTAAACCAAGACCTTGTGAGATTGCCCGTTCTCGCTTGCAGTTAGCCCATCAATAGGGAGTTACAGAACCTGCTGTACGTGTTTTGTTGTCCTAGTAAATCTGGGATGATGAGATTATGCCATGCTGGGTGATTGGAGGGCATTTAGGAGCAAAGAAGCCAACAAGAAACAATTGTTGTCACGAACTTCTCCCATTTTTGGAGTTGCATCCTTCTGGAGCGTGCCAGCCGGTGAATGAACATGGACACAGTCTTGGCAAACCTTAGAGAGGCCCTGGCAAAATGGCAAAAAAAAACCTACCTTCTGGATTTGCAGCCTCGGTGCTTGACATCCCCATGGTTATTGGTTGTATCACCACTGGTTGGTGGTTTGGAACATTTTTTTTCTATACTATTGGGAATAATAATCCCAACTGACTAATATTTTTCAGAGGGGTAGGTCAACCACCAACAAGACCATGTGATTCTGTGTTTGTCATCGGGTTCAAAACACTTCTGATATCGTTTGTTGATTAGTATCATGCTGAATCCAACCCCTGGATCGCTGACAACTGCAATCACAGAAGGCCACCTCCACTTTTTAAAACAGAGTCATCTAGGCTTGCCGTGGCTTTCCATTGAATGTCGTACGTGATATCCATGCTTCTTGGCAGTCTTGGCCCAAACATATCCCATAACTATTGACAACATTCTACTCAGCATGCTACAAGTGGCTTAAATCATGTTAAAACACTACGTACTTGTAAACCCCAGATATGTTTTTTCTTTTCTCTATATTATATACATTTATATACTATACAGTAGCCATATCGAGATATATGGCTGTGCCTGAAAGAGGAGGGGACTCCCAAATGTTAATTTTGATAGGACAATTAATCAACCATCAAACGTAGGAGTTTCCCCCAAAAAATCAGACAATCCCATGAGGAATGGGCACTGCGGTGCTTGAAAATGATGGACACACACACAGTATTAAATGGCCCACCCAAATCATCCCTAATATTCCCACATCCATATACTTATAGTAAATACATGTAAATACCCGTTATATTCAGTTCCCTCTCATCCTGCCCCCCTTAGCAAAAACGCCTGGTTTTCAGGCGCTTCAAGCAGCTGAAGAAGTGGGAGCGTGCGCGCTACGGCGAGGTCTACGTCTGTCCCTGTTGCCGCGGCCGCTGGCGTTTGGCGAAGGTCATGGACGACTTGGGACGAGTCCTGGAGATCGGCAAGGTGGTGGATACAGGCGACCAGGCTGCGAACGGCTGCTAGGTTATAGGGAACATCTATGGAAAGACGTGATTATATATTACCCATAGGATCCATGTATGGTATATATACTAACATTGGGGGTATATTGATGGTAAATGTTACCATATATAGCATACATGGATCCTATGGGTTATAATATGGAAAATATGGTAGGAAAATATATGGAACATATTTGAATAACATATGGATATTATAGGAGATACTAATCATGATCATAGAATAATCATGATGCCCCCAAGTTGATTTGGCCCAATGATCATAGTAACAATAATAAAGAAACATCGATGGGCCTGTGAATGATAAAGAAAGGAGAATAGTGAGAATAGTAACTAATTATGATAATACAACAATGAACATATTAAGACAATACTAATTGTCCCATTGTTTCCAATGTTTGCCATTTGGGGAAATATAGAAAAAACATAATATCATACCCCAGTAGATCATATGTGCCATGGCCAAATGATGCATTAGATAGCCATTAATTGGATTTAATTGGTGGGTTGTCATCAATCCATTCATAGGTATCTACTTAGCCATTGCAAGGAATTCCATTACAGGGCGGGCAAGATACTACATTTAGACCATGGCACACAATGTGCACAGTCAGTAATACTCAGCAAGAACCATAAATATGTGATGATGGTGGGACATAACCACATAAATGTCAACCCCGGATTAATGAACTCCTGTTGATGACTATATAAGGGGTTCCCACAAATGATGATGATTTGCTACTAGAATCGTGCCCCTTCCCAGTGTGCTTTTAAATCCGGGGTTGACACTATCCCAGTTGATTTGGTTGTGAAAATCCGCTAGTAATCTACCTAATCCAAATTGGTCACAACTATAACTCAGAAATACCCAGAATCGGGATACCAGATCGGATACATGACCTGCAACGATTTTGGGGATGGAATCTGCTAGCCCGCATGGGTATGGGCATGCACCTGATATTCATGGGCACGTACCTGCTACTGGGATATTTAAATTGTGCATGAATGGTGTGTCTCATTGTGGATGGGATTCTTGTTTGGCTTCTCCAACACCAGCTGCCTAATATCTGCGGCATTGGCCTTGAGGCATTGCGACCTCAAAACAGTGGTTTCTTTTCCCCATTTTGTGAAAAGTTAACCGCCTCATGAAAACCCTTACCCTGGAAGTATGCGCACGGTCCCCCATTTCATCCCGTGATGACTAGCGAAACGCTCACTGATGATTGCTTGATCATTCCCAGCCTACTTTTTGGTGATGAAACAATGCATAAATATACACAATATCAAACATAGCCCATAGCACAGAAAAATCAGTCTCTCATTGTAAATGATCCATCTGTTTAAAGTGGTGATTTTCCATTGCCGGGCAAGATTACTGGAGGGATCCGAAGGTTTTAATTATGTCTACGTATGTTTTGGTATGTAATCAAACATGGCAACGGAAATCCTTTCTAAACGGAGGTCTTGATGAGGAAGTCATCGAACTAAACTGCAGGTTCTCCACTTCAGTTTTAATTAAGGTGATGTTAGTGATGTTTTCATTATTGGGTTTACCACATTACATTATGGGTTTATCATGGTTTATCCCTTAACATGAGGTAATTAGTCCTAATATTAAATCCATTGGTTAATTAAAATCAGCATTCACCACATGTCTTGTCCTTCTGTCCATGTGATGCTTCGACTCCTTCCACGCTGAAGGCGTCACTCCCGGCGTTGCATCCCTCAGTGGCCGCGCGGGTCTGCCGCGCTTTCCCGTCCCCGGCGGGCGCCCGGCGGTGGCGGGGAGCGCGGCGAGGAAGCTTCCGCATCCCAATGATGTGGCTGTGCTGCACAACCAGGTAGCCCGAGATGTGGCCAAAGGCGCTAGGGGGGTGGAGGTTGAGGTTTCTGGGAGTTTCGATTGAGAATTCTACGCTGGGAATGGAACATGACCCATAAAAGTCAAGAGATTCAGATTCTCGATGATTGATTAACTCCATTGAAAAGGATGATTTTCTACGGCCGGGCTAGACCCGAACTCAAAGCGCGGTTGGTGCAAAACAGGGCTCCATGACTCCAAACAGTGAATCAAGTTTGGAATAGGACCATGTTGCACCCAATTGTATCATCGGGTGGTTTGTCGTTTCACAAAAACAATCAAAACAATAAGTTCAAACAGCTCAAAGCTTGGCTGCCCCAAAAAATAATTGGTAGCCATGTTTGATTGTCCTATATATTGTATTCCCACTAAATCCCATAAAATCCTGTTTTTTGATGGTTAGCTGGTTAGTCTCTATGATTTTCCCATTTGAATCCCAGCCCAGCCTGGTGCAGACTCCTTTCGCCAGAGCCTCAGGTGCCGCATTGTGTTTGTTGCCGCCGGGCAGTGCGCGACCAGCGCTGGCCGGGCGACTCTTGTTGCAAGCCGCAGTGGCCGGGATGCAGCCTTTGCGGAGGGGAAATGCTACTGTGATGTGGGTAAAACAATGGTTCATGATGGTTAATAGTGGTTAACAATGGTTAGTAATGGCTATATAATATTATATAATGGGATTTTTATGAATAAACCATCAGATCTCAATAAGTAGTGTCATCAACCACCCATTACTGGGGAAGGTTTATTGTTTTACCCACATTAACCATAATACCGTGAGTATCAACCGTGCAAGGCTGCCATGAAGCAATTCATCTCAAGTAGGGGCATACACACTAATAAAGCACACGCTAATAAACCACTACTATTGCGCTTTTCTATTAGCTGGTTTGTAAGCCTTCAAAAGTCCCTGAATACACGTTAATATCCTATAATGGCACGGTAGGGTTTAGCGTTTCTAACAGACATATAGGATCATATAGGAATCCAACAAATGATGTAGCATTAGCACGATTACAAACAAGTTACTAACGCACGCCAGGCTTTATCCCCCAATTTTTGGCCATTGAATGCCATTGAAACATTGGGAGCCTCAGGCCACCTGGCAGGTTGTTGAAACACCAATATCTTCTGTTGGTTTCAATATTAATATTAAGACACCACATATCCATACTTTCTATCCCAGGAATTCCCAGGATAAGGTCAACCAAAAAACCGACTCTCCGGTAGTCAAATATTTCTTGTTGGGAGACCCCCAGTGACTCGTTCGGTGATTTTCCAGCTACCCTTTGATCAGGTTTCCGGGTCCAGTACCGGTGCCCCCTTGCTGTTGCTGGCCGACGACCACGAGCTGGACGCCGTGAAGTTGTGGCTGGCCTCCGCAGCGCCGAAGTATGAGGCCGGGCGGAATGGCTGTGGGGTTGAGTTCGCTATTCTGATATGTTCTACGTCTCTAGGTTTTTTAAATTAGCTTTTTTTGATGGGGTTTGTTTTATTATACATGTTTTTTTTTGGTGTGTGTGTGTTTGTTTTATTACTGCATTAGTATTCACTATGTTGTTTTTGGGTGTGCTATTAGTTTTTGTTGCATGTGATTTTTTTTGGATAGAAACCCCACTGGGCCTGTCTCAAAAATAGGCTGCTTCAAATCAAGAGGTTGACCATCATTCTTCACGCATTATTGAAATTTGTTGTTGTTTTGGTGGTAATTGTACATATCCCATTTAGATGGAGATTTAAGATGATATGACCAGTCAACCTGATGAGGACGTGGCAATAACGGGACAGCTGCCGACGCTGATTGGGTGGTAAGGAAGAGAAGGGTTGCAATTGCTGATTGAGATGAGGAATACGGACAGTTTGGATCATCTAGTTTTGCCATGTTTCGCCCTGTTTCCTGGTCGTGTGCATCTACTGTTACAAGGAAATTGACGTAGAGCTGAACATAGGGTCTGCCAAGAAAGGAAACACAAATGATTGTTCATCCATTTGCCATGTTGTGTTGCTATAGTTCAACGTCAGACCAGCCCATGTCTCCCCGGCTTTTTTGGGTGTTCCCAGGTCATCAAGGCATCTCTACAACAACAAAGCCACATCAGCAAGGTGGCAGGGCACCAGCTGGCAACCATTCTGTTGTCCACTCCCTTCACCTTCGAGCGTTTAGGCTTGCAGGTCTCGCAACTGGCGCTTTGACCTGGTGGGTAGGGATGCCACAGGCTGCCATATATGGGAACTATTGGGAACTTGTCCTTTAAAAAATTCGATCTGATTGAAAGGGACTTGCCGCATGTTCTCGCCACGACATTCCAAAAAACGGTTGTGATGTGCTCATCCAATCAGCCAATATCAGCCACCAAGGATTACGTTTTGATGAGTTGCTCTGCCACAGAGATACCCATGCTGCGGGAGTGTCAGGCGGGGGATGAGTTCATGGCACCCTTCAGCATCATCAGCAAGCGACCACGGGTGGTTTGCTTATTGGATTCCACCTGCGTCGCTCGTTGGAGGTTTGATTCACATGGATCCAAGTACATCCTGAGAAAGTACTTACATCTCCCCTTATGATAGCCCAGATAATCCAGATAGCCCAAATACGTTTTCGCAAGGCACTTGGATCCGTGGGGTATACTGTAGGCTTGTTTTATTATCATTATTTTTTCCATCATTTTTTGCACTTTCTATCCAGCTAGCAGCCCCCCAAACGTTTCGAATGGTCCGACCCTACATACGTTACATCCAAGTGTTTCCTACTTCCAAAATCGCACAGATCATGAAATGGGTGTGATTGAACATGCAATACTTCAAACATATTCAAAAATTGAATATCGTTTGATTGTCTGGTGTGAAACATCACGTTCCTCATCAAATTGCCCATGTATTTGGGTATACGTTCTTTCCAGACAAATCCAAAGATCATGTTAAGCAGGTTACACGCCATCATGTCCCCATAAACTCCTACGAACTTCTATTGAAGCATGTTAAAACCTATATATGAAATTACATTTTTCTGCTCTACAATAACGGTTTTCATCCCCTTCTAGTCACAAAACACTGTAAATACCAGTATTTTTGACAATTTTTAAAGCAAAAATCGCTCCCCCATGAGGGACCGTTCTGTAAAACAAATACTAAGTCTAGACTCTACACATTCCCCGAAACTCCCTGTTCAATCAGCTTTCAGGAAGTTCACCAGGCTCTGCAGGGCCATTTGGCGGCGGTGAGCGAGGCAAAGGACCATATGTCCAAGGCGTTGCAATATCTGGAGGGGACAAAGCCGGGCCAAGGAGGATACTCACAGGTGGGGACCCTGGGGATGATGAAAGATATGCCCAAGGCGTGTTTCGGATGGTGGGATGATGTCAGATATATCTTGTTTTAGTGTGTGTGTGTGTGCGTGTGTGTTTCCGATGGTTGTTTCTTTTGGAAACGTGTTTTAAGGTATGGAAAGGCGCGGTGTTTGTTGATAACTGTCCAGTTGCGCATAAAAATGGGAAAGGCTATTGGAAAGTATTGGAAAGAGTTATATATATCCATGGCGTGGAATTGACTAGTAAGGAATAGCGCGAAGTAGTTGTTTCAATTCAAACCAAATCACAAATATTGGTAAAAAGTTTTTGACATGTGCTTTTGTGCGTTCAAGCTTTGGAAAACTTAAAATCATGGAGGAAAAACTCTAAATCTATGACTTCCTGGGCAAACTATGTTCCATCTGCAGGGTTCCTAGCAACTTATTCTGTGACCCCCGGAGGCCTGCTTGGAGGACTTCTCCCGCCACGTCTCGCGCTTTCCGGACGTGGTGCGTTACGGTCCTGGTGGGCCCGAGGATGGCGAGGAATTGCCGCTGGGCTTCACCGGGCCCTTGCAGCCCTTGAAGCGACACCCGGTGATTCGAAGTAAACAGGATGAGATGTCCAGTGAGGCCCGTGGGGGTGAAGAGATACATGTTGTTTTTTTCACAATTATTTGGGATAATTTTTAAAATTATCGTTTGGACATCAGAGATTTTTTGCAGGAATTCATGAAGTTGAAGTTGTTTGATTTTCGCCTTTTGTGAGAGATCTGACTGTCAGAAGAATTTTGGTAGAGATGCGTTGATGGCTAGTTATGGTGGCGACAATGACTGAGTAACTGGCCTCATTGAATCATTGCTTTGTTTTTGTCACATTGAGAAATGGTGAGCCCTTTGAGTTCATTTCGATCCATTCAATACCCCCAGTATGAATTCAAACCAGATGGGCTCGGCTAGGCACACATTTTCTCGAAACTGGTAATGTCAGTTTTCCATATATCAATCTTGTCCCTGAAAGTGCCAATATCATATCCCGTCTCATATATATATATATAAAAACACTAAATTGCAAGCTATGGTAACATCAACTAACATCAATTAACTAACATATCTATCCACGGTTTTGGTGTTACAACATGTTACAACCATACAACTGATATTTCCCCGGCTGGGGCCCTCCACTGCAACGTTAGGCGTCGGACTCTTCCTTGAGTCCTGTGGCGCCCGTGACGGTGAGACCGGAACCGGCGGCGGAACCGACACCTGAGCCGCAGCCGGCGGCGAGCAGCGGGTTATTCTTTTGAAGCCATGGGGGATGATGAGCACTAATGGGCGAGTTTCAAGAACATGGAGGCCATGGTGAAGTGAAGAACTACTGGAGACTGGAGGTTGACTTTTGGGAATTTGGATAAGTTGCACATATTTGAAGTGAGATCGCGCACGAGCACCTGAACGACACGCTTTGACTGGAGTTCCGCTGATATGGTCTGGAGTTCTGAGAAGGTCCTGCAGGTGGAGGCAGCACCATCTCAATATCGAAAAGATTCATGGTCTTGGGAAAGAAGGAATGAACGGACTCCAAATGAGAGGAAGGTGGCATAGGTCGAATTACAGCTCCTCTTCACCGCCAGCTTTTGGTTGATGTTCGTCTCAAGATTTCTCAACCATAACCATCCATTCTTTGGGGCAGCCAACTTGACCCATGCGCCAAGAAAAGATCCGATTTCTGGCGTGATTTGTTTGTGTTTCTGCTTCCAACTTTTGGCAGAAAAGGCTGTGTTGCCATGCGTTTCCTGTCATTGTGGTTGCCCTAGTAAACCAATGTAGATATGGAAACTCCATGAAACTCCACTATTTGTATGCAGACCATTTCTCAGGAAAGCCATGAATTTCCACTGCTATGTTGGTTTATGGTTTACTGAATTCAGATTTTTCTGAGAATGGCGACTGTTGTGTTTTTCTCGCGGAAACCTTTTATAGTTAGTCTCCAAAGAATGTCCCCCGTTGTCAGCCAATACTTGGCACATGTTGCATGTTTGCCCTCAGCAATAAAGTCTATTTTTTTCACATAGTTCATACTAAAAGTTGCCAACACTTGTGGCTCCCCTGGTCTCTTTTTTCTTTTTGGGATTTTTTGGGTATGTGAATGATAGGTTGCTGCAACGGGTCCAAAGGGCTGCGACACGACTAATTATATTTGTAAATGACAGGCCACAGGGGGAAACATATGATATTCATGTGTGTGTGTTTATATTTTCCTTAGCCATATATTATCTCTTTCGTTCCCGTTACCACTGGACTCATGGCCCCAGGAGGAATGGTATAAGGAGGGCTTCTACCGTCAGGGCTTGCTGCTCTTCACAGGCCATCGGCCTCGGACCCGTGGACCCGCGGAGTGAAGATGACTGGTTTGATGATCCAACAAATCTGGGAATGATGTGATATATGTACTGGTATGATATATAAATCATATATATTGATAAATGATATATGAATATATATATATATATATTATATATATATTACATCTGATATATGATATGCGGCAAATTTGTCATAAGATATGATATGATATGACAATGATATATGCTCCGATATGATATTCACCAGTGTTTTGATGCTTGTTTCTTGTTTGACTTTTGTTTGGCATTTGGGATTTTGAAAAAATCACGAAGCAGTTCTCTACGTGCAACGTCTCAGAATTTAAACACATCATCCGTCCATTGAAGAAACTGATCTTCAGAAACCCATTTCAGTGGGAAAAAACTAACTGATCCTAGGGTAAACTAACATAGATGTGGAAAACCCCCTGATTTCCCAAGGCTTCCCCCAGGAAAATCGGCTACAAATGGTGGATTTTCCACATCTATGCAAGCGTTTACCCTAGGATGCATTGTGATATGTGCAGCCCCATTGCTGGTTGCGGATCCAAGCGTCCTCCAATCTTCCCCCCCATCAATCATTGCCATGGGAAATCCATGGAAAACCCCTAAAAAAACGAAGGTTTTAATGAGAACAACATCTATAAATTTATAAATGGTGTTTTTTTTTTCCGTTGCCATGCTTGATTACCGGAGGTAGTAGTTCAATGATTCAATGTCCTAAAGTGATAGTGAGGTGATAGGTGATAGGTTTTTTTTTTAACAGGAAAGCCCCATATTTAAAGGGACAATCTACCAATCCATTGGGATACACTGATAGCAGGTTTGGGCATGCAGATCTTCATCGTGATTGTGGTGGGGGAACCAAAACGTGACAGTCACTTCACGGCCGCACCGAACATGGCTAGTTTGGTCGGAAACGATTCACAGGTGGTGGTATACGGTTGGTTGTTCTTTTGTTTTTTATTTATTTTGTGGAATCTGGAATCAAGTTATCACATATGTTGCCCATACTTGATGTACAAGATCACAAGTGAGTCAGTCATTTGTTTGTGCCCTCATTCTTACGTCTAACATATGCCTAGGGGCGTAACACGTGCTGCAGACGCTGTTACTTCAAGTCACCACTGGTAGATTGGATCCCAGGTCTTCATTGTGGCCGCCTCAGTCCGACTGGGTCAATGGGGCGATGATGGTGCCACCATCAACATCATCAACCAGAGATCCTTTGACCAACCTTGTTGAAAAACACTGATCAACATAACAACTTTATCACCATCATCATGACCAAACTTGTTGATAGATAGTTGATCATATCCAATTTTTACCGCATCATCAGCATGATTATACATTATTTACATAGTTTCATGACATTTGTTGAATACATAACATCTCCCACTCCTGTGTGGTGACTGGTCGAGCTCTTTGGTCGACCTTACGAGCGCCGCTCCGCTAAGGTCTTACTCATTCACTCTGTAGTGCTGCAGGCGCCGTGTGTTTGATATCGTCACTTGTTGAATTGATTGCGCCAGTTGATCCGAAAATGCCAACGTTGGCATCCCCAATGACTGTTGGTTCACCCTTTCTGCTGGTCAAAACATTCAAAATGCCCAAAACTGATTCAATCTTAATTTAAGTTGGTTGTGATATCCCTCATTTTTGTAGCTTAAACCGCCATTTTTACTGATCATGTTCGCCATAAAATGCCCTGAAACAACCCTTGGCCATTTCTCAGCCATGGTTTCAGGTGCCGAAAGCTGAGCCGTTCCGTTCTGCGACCTACATCACCAGGGTAACTTTTCGCAGAATCGGGGCTGGATGTTGAGCATGCTGGAACTAGCTGGTTGGTGGTTTGGAACATGAATGATATTTTTCCATAGCTTGGGAGCAATGATCCCAACTGACTTTCATATTTTTCAGAGGGGTTGAAACCACCAACCAGGAGATGTTTTTGTAATATTTTAGGGCTGCATATGGCTGCATGGTAGGGTTTTGGCAGCTGTTTCACGGATGGAAATGCTGGAGAGAAGCTCATGAGGGTGCAAGTAGCCTCAATGTACAGATAAACTTTGCGACTCATATGGGAGTACACGGGGGATACAGCGTACCCGATGGTTACAACATGTTACAACTGGCTACAATCTAAGAACAACTGAAGGATGATACCGTGTCAATAACAGAGAGAGAGAGAGAATCGCGTCGCCACCAACAAGTAAGCAGAAGCAAGCGGGTCTATTGCAAACAAAATTGGGTATGGATAGACTATGTTAGAATATAGTCAAAGTAGCAACCACAAATGCATTACTGGACGTGCGTGGCCTGTGCCCTTTGGTCTTGCACCATATATAGTCCAACTTGGTGCTGCCCATTGCAGGTACTTTATGAGATTTTGGAGCATGTGCACGCACATACACATACATACATACATACATGCATGCATACATACATGCATGCATACATACACAAAACATTCATAGATACGTAAAGTAAAAACCTCCAAAAGATAAACAAGCTGTATATTTACCACTTGGTACTAGCAGGGTTGAACTTAATCCCCTTCCCCTAATACTAAACCCCCAAAGAATAAACACCTAAGGTGGTTTTTATTATGAGGGGGTATTTATTATTAGGGTGCGAAGCTTCCCCTAATACTAAATTTAAAACCCCAATTATAAAAAAAAAAAACTATGTTTTTCTATTTCATTATCGATGAGATTTCCTTTTAAAATCTAATTAAAATATTGCCAACAATTGGATTTCGAAGCTTTCTTCTAATATTTAGTTAAACACCTTAATGTAAAATCCTTTTTTTCCGACCTTAAAAGACGAACCCTAACAAACAACACCCCGGGGTTGACTAGTTTTATTAGGGGGTGAAACCCTGAAATGGTAGCTTCATTTTTAAATTGTGTTCTAAAGGGGATCAATTAAAAATCAAATTGGCCAACCTCAAATTTTCCAAAATTGGAGACGGTCCCTATAGTTTTTATTATTTGGGGGGTTTAGTAATAGAGGGAAGGGATTATTTATCCGTTGGCATGTGTCTACTTCCATGAAGGCAACTGTCCACTATGAAGGCGACGATTGATCTTACACTTCTGTTGCGTATATGGGTATCGGACAAAATTGGGATGGAATGGTTAATATACCAAAAATAGATTGCAATCTGTGGTTCCCCAGGTCTAAAAAAATGTTGACCCAGGTCCCATATCTTTCTCATTGATGTTCCGTGGATTTTTTCCACTTTCCATTCACACTGCCGTGGTTGAGGCGATGATGATCTTTGGAGCCTTTTGTCAATCCGTGGCCTCTCGACTGGGTGAAATGGTGGTTTCCTCTAAAAAAGTCGGACAAACTGTGGATCCGAAATAATAGAAACATAGATGCAACGATGTTCAATTGACTCTGTAATTGATGTTATTCTATCTAAGAGTTATATCTAGTTTTTAGCGATGGACGCATCATAAAAGTGGATTGGAACTCCAATGCTTCATGCAGAAGTTGTAGGCAGCTGGATGGACATCGATTAATATTCACATTTATCTTGTATACATTTTAAAGTCAGGTTGAAGACGTTTTATGTGTTCTCTCAGGACGTCATTGCCTTCTTCAGCGGATATGCTACAATGGAGTCTTACCTGCATTGTCTTACCGGCATTGTCAGAAACACATCCTGCGCACGGACAGAAACGGTGCGTCAGAAGCGGCTGAGGATTCAGAATTCCTGAAGTCCATTCTTCGGCGACATGGCTTGATGGTACCATCTGAGCAGTCGAACGACCCACTTTCCGGACTGTTTCGTAGTTTTCACTTCTAGAAATCTTTGGCAAACTGGTTTTGTGCTTCCCATGTGACAGTTGAAGTTGTCAATTCTGTTCCCGTGTTATACTTATCGAATCCAATATAAGCCTCTGAGAAGACTTAACATGGATGGTTTGTTTGTGTGCTCACTGTGTGCTCAGCACATTGCATAGATGAGAAAACATCTGAAGATTGGAAAGATTTCGTTGGTCCCGCGGAAGCACTGTGCAAAAAACCGGTGATTTTGGCTCCGCCTTGGGGATGGTCATGGCCTGGAATTGATGGGAGCTTTGATTTGAGCCGGGGACAACAGTAAGACGACAACCACTACATATTGGTGATGTCGGACATCTCATGATATGAGTTCACTTGGCAACATCATGACATGTTGTCTTATGTTAAGTATTCACTTTGAAGAGATATGAAAAGACCCACCATTCAGAAGTGATTCTATTGGCTGGAGAGCTCACCTGCCCAGGCGGCCGACAGCGGCTCCATTTGTTGAATGCGAACCCTGGGTTTGCAAACCATGATATCTTGATAGATCAATTATGGAGCACCCCTAATCACATTAATCACCATCTAAAAATCCAGGTTCATCATTTTTCATCAAGACGGACTCTCTAATGAAACAACCCATGTGTTCATAAATGAGAGGTTGTCATCGCTGCCCCTTTTTCGGTCACTGGGGTCCCCGGTGAAGAGGCCCTTAGGTTCATATTCATCTTGTGATGAGTGTACTGAAGATTCCCTTCATTAGCTAACACCAGGCTTCAACCGTTCAACCACTTCCTTTCGAGTATGGGTATGGGTCAACATTTGCCACCCCCAAAATTTGCATGGTCGAATTGCAGCCTCGTAATGATTCCTAAATTCTCCCGCCCTTTTGCAGCGGTGAATTTGTAAACTTGATGCCTTATCACTTATCACGATCCAAAGTAGCTGGCCCAAGTTTTCCTGCTGATAAAAGCATGTTTTTGTTGCTCATTAAAGCCGCAATTAAAGCCCAAGTAAAGCCGCAATTAAAGCCAGTTCTTTGCTGCTTAAAGCCCAAATTATTTGTTGCTTTAAACCCATGTGCTACATTTGTATATAGTATTATTAAAGTATTTGTTGCTGAACGCCACTTGTTTGGAGTTGGTTACTATAAACCACTGGCTGGACCCATATCCTCAAATTGTTCTGTAAAATATGTTAGAACCTCTGGTTTCCTGTGTGAATATTCCACACTATCACCATGCTGGTTGTTTGAAATAGTTCATCCCCAGTTCTGCTGAATAAACAGTCTTTGTAGATTAATGTGGGTAAAACAATGCCATAAACCACCCTTTTGGGAATAGTTTATATCACCCATAAAAATGGTGATTTGGGGGATGGTGTAAGGTTTATTATGGTTTATTATTGTTTTACCCACATTAATTTTTATTTCTGATAGTTAAACTAATAAGGTTTTACCAACATTTAAGGTTTATTCTCCTTTTACCCACATTAATCTTAATTTCTGCGAGTTAAATCATCATGTCAAATCTGTGGATTTTTTAGCTGTTTCAATGAAACATATCTGTTTTTGGGGCCCCCAATATTGATCTCCAACAGGTAACGGTGGTTGCCAGGACCCAGCAAAATCGCTCCGTGGACCTGAACGGACGCATCTACACGGCCGACCGCTGGGATGGGAAAAAACGGCCAGTTTTAAGCCATGAATTTTGGGAATGTGATTACCCTCTGGTAATTTAACGTAGCTATGGAAAATCACAATTTTTAATGGGACAAATAATGATCAACCATATACCCTCTGGTAATTTGTTACATAGCTATTGAAAATGGCCATAGAAATAGTGAGTTTTCCCATTAATAGCATGGTGATTTTCAATAGCTATGTTAGTTTACCAGAGGGTATCATATGGCTCAAGAAATGGTTAATTTTATGGATAAGCATATGGAGAATCATGGCTAATTTTGGTTATATCATCACGATTATCCATATGAATATGGCTTTGGTATTGCTTTGGTTAATTATCTATGTGGCTAATCATATTGGTAATAACATAGAAAGAATATGATACAATTGAGAATATTATTGAGAATATGATACAATTGAGATACTAATATGATTATTAAAATAACATTATTAATATGGGATATTATGGGATAATTATTTGTGTGCTACTGTCAGCTACAGTTCGTTATTTTTTATGCCAGGTCTTGGATGTGCAACGAACATTGCCATGGACTATGGCCCATTTATAGATGATTTACATAGTAACTACAGTAAAAATTGTCATTTCCATAGCTATGCTGGTTTGCCCCAGAGGGAAATCCAATTATAGTCCATTATATATATATACATATTCTCATTATATTCCCATTAAACCCCATTATATAAACCCAATTAAACCCCATTAAATCCCATTAATTAAATCCCATTCAATCCCATTAAACCCTATTAAATCTATATATTCCAAGAGATCTCCCCCACTTTTCCTTTGATCACCTGTCAGGCTGAAGATTTGGAGCAAGCAGAGCGCAGGCTGGAGCTGTGTCGGATGGTTTAAAGGTTATTTCATGGCAAATCCATTTTTTTAAAGAATGGATGATAACTGGGGGTACCCCCTGATCAGGAAACTTCCATGTGTAATGATGACATAATGACAATCATAGTAATAAATAATAACACTATATAATAAAAAATAACCACCGTCATCATCGAACTAAATGAAAAGAGTGGAGGATCAGCGCCGATTTGTCTATACATCACATCCCTATATCTATTTGGAACAGGCCAGAATCAATTGTGTATGTATATTTTTTGTACTCTGCGAGGATTGTATAGCACACACGGTCCAACCACATTTTGTTGTGTTCCAGTTGCAACTAACTTTTGAGATGAAGATGGAATAGAACCCGAAAGGAACTGATAGGATACAACCTCAAACTATTAATGGACTCAGACGATAACAACGATGAACAGCAAAACGGGATGACATCAACCCAAAATTACCCCAAGACTATATAGAGGTAGAATCAAGACTATCCCGGAAAAGTGTGGAGAGATACCGATAATACCCAACACACTGCCGATTTTCAGACCAACACTTGGAATATCATCCATATCCCCAAATGTTGCAAGATTGAGGGACGATTGACTTGATCAACAGCGATGAAACTTGAAATTTGATGAGATGAGGAAATTTGAAACTTGATGAATCTTGATGATATATATATATATAGATAGATAGATAGATAGATAGATAGATATATAGATAGATATGTAGATAGATATATATATATATAGATATATATATATATATAGATTTATATATATATAGATAAAGATTTATATATATATAGAGATTTTTATATATATATAGATTTAAATATCTATATATATATATATATTGAGCATATTAATTATATCCCCAAATTATCCGTTTCACACCTAGGCCAAATCCTGTTCCGTCCTATCGAGGTGCCGCACGAAGTTCGGCCAACCCGCCAGCGGAGAACGTCGCATAGAGCGAATCCATGTGGGTCTGGGAGCCAAAGGTGTGGGAATCTTTGGCTATGCCTGTTCGTGGTTGCCTTGAAAAAAACATGATTTTCCGTAAAAATCAAATGACATGATGTTTTACCCCAAGTTTATGTTGTTTTTGAATGATTATGATTTCAACCCGAGTCTATTCAATGGGGAAACGTGTTACATACCTATAGCTTTGACCTGGCCATCCCTGGCCTGGGCCTCAGGTCGCAAACGCGAGGCGCCCAAGGACGACGTGCCACCGGAGCCCGCGGAGCCCGCAGAGCCCGCGGCGCTTCCGTCGGGCTCGGCACCTGAAGCGCCTCCGGTGCCACCTGCGTTGCCAGCGGCTGAGGTGGGAAGGAGCTATGGCAGCACCCTTTGGGCCTTTTGGGTATCATGGCCGGAAAATCCGCACCTTATTTGATGGATTTTCCATGATTTTCCCACTACCTCCATCTTGTAGGGGGGCATTTCCCAGTGCTGTGTTTGATTATTGAAAGGTAAGGTGGACAAAACTGATGGAAATCCCCGAGTGCGTGGTGTATATAATTGGTGTACAATCCAACTACCAGTAACTACCAGCCACCCCGCAACCTTTTGAAGGTACCCCAAAACGGATGTGAGGGAACATTGTTGTCGAAAATTCATAGTTTGCTTTCCATAAATCCAACACATTCCAAAACATATACCAGAACGGTCCATGTTTGTTAAAATGTTCACCCGCACCAAACGCAAAGGCGGATAGAAATGGATATGAACTTCATGGATTTTTGGGTTGTATCCCTTTGTCGTTGAATCCATTTGCAGACCATTCTTGTGTCCACCTTTGTAACCACTAAAATGGAATCCCAAAAATATCGGATGATCTTATCAACCTCCCATCCTGTTGGTCCGAGGGTGTCCAATTATAGTAAAGCTTAGTCTATTTGGCGACACTTGCATGTTGAGCAACCAATGCTGTGTGGAAGCTATGCACTAGATTGAGTTTCAACCAGCCAGGTCCAGGTGTGACTCCGCACGCATGAGTTCTCTACTTTTGACACGAAACCATCTCAGAAATTCCACAATGGCACCATTGCGGGGCATTAAAACAAATCCCACAAACATCCACAAACAAAGTTTTGTGATCATTTGTGGTTTATCAAATTTGCTTTAGACCCCTTTATCCCCATATTTTGCTATAGGTTAATCATGGTAAACCCAGGTATCCAAATAGGAGTTTCCTAAAATGGGGATCCCAAAGTCACCATGGGTTTCAATACTAAATCATGATCATCCATGACTTGGATGATTTGGGGGTACCCCCCATCTTAGATCATTTTAGGAAGCCTCGCAGGCGAAGCAGGCCGATGAGCCGGAGCAACGGAGAGCGGTCCCACAGGCCATGAGTGAATTCCTGGCACCTTGGATCGCCAAAAGTTGACGTGGACCAAAAATTCGCCAGGACTGGCAGGATTGGGGAGTGAATCATGGTGAATCCCCATGTTCAGGTACCCTCTGGTAAACTAACATAGCTATTGAAAATGACCATTTATAGTGGATTTTCACATGAAAAATGGTGATTTTCCATAGCTACGTTAGTTTACCAGAGGGTACCAACATGTACCAACATGATGGTTTTTCGCCCGGCGATTTCGCTGTACCCTGAGGCACAGCGTGTCCTGGGCAGATGTAATTCGGTGGAATCGGTCCGGTGCCCATTGTCTAAGCGCGTAGCTGAAGATTTCAAAGCTGCACGCGGTGTTGGGTTCAAATGGAAGAGGGTATGGGTCTAAAACCTTGGAAACGACATGACACAACTATGTGATGAACTTAAAGTACCTGTTTGTGGATGCTCATCCCCCAAAGATGTTGTTGACGCATTGTCTAAATCATCAAAAGCAAGCTATGGATAGCTATGGCAAGATATCCCCCAATCAATGTTTGGTCTGAAGCTTTGGATTTGTACCTCCAGTGAATTTGACCACGACTATCCACGACTGCTTAAAGGCTGAGAAGTTTTTCGTGTGGCTTCGTGAGCAAGCACAAGCGGGTGAACACATTAGAGGCAGCGACAGGATGGCATAGCGATTGATGGTTGATTTGGAAGTGAGATCAAGTCAGTGATCAAGGACCTTCGACGACATTCAAAGACCTGCTTTAATCACTCTAATCAGGATGAAACCTGATGAAAGCTTGATGACACATTTGAATACATTTGAAAGATAAAAACTGGTAATTGTGACATACACCGCAGGATTCTGATGGTGACCACCGAACATCATTTCATTATGTATATTTAATTAATTCAACATGTTCTCAAGAGATCTCATGTTGTATTATTATAAGTGTTACCTTTTCTTGCGGTTGTGATGTGTTCATAGTTTGTTGTGTGACGTGCATATCATATGCCTAGACCCTCCTGGAAAAACGGTGTAATGACTCTACCCATTATTTTGTTGTGCTTTGGAATTTCATAGGTACAGGGTCGAAGTGTTCTTCCATGTTGTCAAGTCCAAAAATCGATTTTGAACGCAGGATGTGACTGAAGTGAACTGAAAGCACTGCACTGGTAAAAAACCATTTTGTATTTTGTCCTGCAGAATCCTACAAACCCGGATGTTCATTTGTCCGTTTTCGTTGGTGATTAGTTCTGTCATTTTGTTTGATTTGGGCTCAATGGGGGGGGGGGGCAGGGCGTGCAAAAAAATCAGCGGACCAGGCCGGCCGTGCACCCTAGAAGATGTTGCCCTTGCTGAGCAGAGGCGTGGGTCAAATCCCTGGTGGAATTCCCAAAAGCAAATCAAACAACGGATTTGAGCACCTCAACCCAGTTGATGGTAAAACATTTTGTTCTGTTTATTGAACGTTTTTGAACTGTTCATGTGTTTTTTGTTCCCAGTTTTTTTTAAATGTTTTTTGATGGTTTTTCAGACTCTTCTGGGACGTACCATCCCCAAACATGTTTTGCTTTGACCGACCGCCTAGTCGACCACATCAGGTGCAAGGAAGAATGGGCCCGAAAAGACTCGGGCAAGGTGTCGTCGTTTCGGACACACAACGGTGTTTTGAAGAGAGGAATTGGTCTCGTGATGTCTCGTGAAAAAAATGGAAAACTAACATGGAACCCAGAAACGTGCAGTTTTACCATGTTGGAACTTTAATATTTTATTTGCGGTGTGCCGTTGGTTTTTGTGGAATATGAACATGTTGGATGAACGAATGATTGATTTTGCTGTTGTTGATGTCCGTTCAGAGTTTCAAAACGGTAGATGCGGACAAAAACAACCAAATGTACCGATGTAAAAAAAAAATGTAAAGGCATTTTGGCAAACTGTTGTGAAAATAACGTAAAGGTTTGGTTCTCGTTGAGACGTGTTTTTTGTTGGAAAATGGAGATCACAGTAAAGGGTCAGAGGGATACAATGGAACAAAACATGTACAGAGCAAACTGGACGTAAACAATGGGTCGCTCAACCACCAGCAACCACAATATACCACATTTTTTTTGTTTTAAACCATTGCTTGGTGGTGAGTAATTATTGGTAATAGTTCCAGGTCTTCAAAATGTTTGATGCAATATTGATTTGTTTGATGTTTTACATCATTACATCACCCAAACCCACAAACCCCCAAACATGTGAATAGGTTACATTTTACATCCTCCAATCCCCAAAAAATCTGACAACAAACACCAAACTCAGGTTTAGACCCTCCAAGCAACCCGTTTCACCAATCATTTTTTTGTTATTGTTTGGCATGTCTCAGCCTGCAACCCGAATCACAGGCCTCAGATGCTTCTGAACGAAGGGAAACAAACAAATAAACAAACAAAAACATAAACATTGGCATTGGTAAGAATCACCCAACAAAAATAACGAGTTTAATTTATTTCCCATTTTTTCTAAGTACCACATTTTTGCGTTTGGTACTTATTTAGGGCCCCAGCAGTTTCCCCCGTTTCCAGGTGCATCGTGACGAGGGGTCAGGGGAGCCAAGAGTGGGATGTTTGGTTTCCACGATTCCCATGATTTCCCAAATGGGCTCATATATATATAATATAATATATAATATATATATATATAATATATACATATAATATATACATATATATATGTATATGTATATAATATATATGATGTAATATGATGTATAGATGTTTGTGGAAATGTCTAGCACCTGCCAGTTCTGTGGTCGATCTTTCTGGACCATCGGACTGCTGTCCTTTACAGCTGGAAATGGCTCCAAAGTTATGTACCCCAATGGGTGTTCAAGTTCCACAAATGGGTGTGTCTGAAAATTGGGTACCATTATTTTGATGATCAGGATTTTCCCCTTGACTATTGACATTTGGGGCCTAATGGGACCGCCAATTTTCAGACAGACCCATGTTACATTTGGGATTGCTGGCATTGCTGGCTGGCATTTTGGGTCGCCACAGTCAGCTGTTGTGCTGTGACCCGGTGGTCGCACCAAGGGCTGACACGTCCAGCAGTTCGAGCAGTTCTGACAGTGCGGAGCCTGGTTGGGAGCAACTCAGTGCAACAACAGTTTGAAACATCACCTTTGCGCAATACGCAGCACTTCAAACACGTGATGTTTTATAATGCTTATAGTATACTGTACTTTATATAGTATTAATACGCGCAAACACCCCGATTCGCCCACACCCCTTCTATGCTGTACACTTGGGGATATTAAACGTTAGATTTTACATTCAATTGGGAAGATCAACAAGGGTATTTAGGGAATATAAATTTCCCACCCCCGTTAAACTTCTACATTCATTGAAGATCTTCAATAAGGGTTTAATTCTCCCACCCCCGTTAAACTTCTACATTCATTGAAGATCTTCAATAAGGGTTTAATTCTCCCACCCCCGTTAAACTTCTACATTCATTGAAGATCTTCAATAAGGGTTTAATTCTCCCACCCCCGTTAAACTTCTACATTCATTGAAGATCTTCAATAAGGGTTTAATTCTCCCACCCCCGTTAAACTTCTACATTCATTGAAGATCTTCAATAAGGGTTTAATTCTCCCACCCCCGTTAAACTTCTACATTCATTGAAGATCTTCAATAAGGGTTTAATTCTCCCACCCCCGTTAAACTTCTACATCCATTGAAGACCTTCAATAAGGGTTTGATGATGATGATGATGATGATGATGATGATGATGATGATGTGTAAGAGACTCGCACAGGTCCCTATGCTGTGCGTGCCGATATAGAACATGAAGTTAGCCATGATGCAAAAAACTCCCATTTTTACCACGTCTTCAGCACATACGAAGATGGCCGCCGATAAGCGCGGGCAAATCAAGGTGTTTGGCCGTATTAATACACTATTATTATCTATTATTCATTACTATGAAGACCACAACTATTCTTCTTCTTATTATCATCAGGTACGTGTATACACGTAATGTAGTATATCAGTATATTGACCCCCCAAAAAAGATGGGACATATGACAGATGTGTCAACAAGTCATCGCTTGCTGGCTTCAGAATTTCACCCTTTTGTGACTGGTTCGATATAATGACACTGTTCTTCAATTGGTAGTATGAATTATATATGTAAGCTAGATCTTATAGATGTTTGATGATGCTTGTTTGGCTTATGTAACATGAAGGGATTTTGTCAATGCGTTCCCAGCTTGCTGGCCAAACATCAGATGCTTCTGAAGATCAAGCATGACTTTGTGGGCCACAGTCGTGTGGAAATGCATGGTGAGGTGACGAAGAGAAGGAAAAAAAGAAAAAGGCCTGGTACGCATGGATGTATGTACCTGAAACTGCTTCAGACTCCAAACATGAGACGTTGCATCATTTTGAACTACTTGTGTGGATCTCAGTATGTCTCAGTCTGGTCAATCCATCCACGTAGTGTTTGGGGATGTTTTTGTTGGGGGCTCACAATCAAAATGACCTATTTTGTGTTCACAGGTGACAAGTCAGGGATTCACACTGGTTCTATTCACCTCAAAATCATCAAGCCAAATATTGCTGGTACTACAATAGATCTATGGTATGATATGCAATATTCCCATTGTATCTCCATTCTATTCCCATGATATCCCCATTCAACCACCACAATCTAGTGGGATTTGGCCTTGATGTAGGGCCCTTAACTTCTCACTAAAATCTGCCAGGAATCCCAGGGAGGTGTTGATGAGCTGGTCCCGACCTCGGCATGGCATGGTAATTAATCATGGTACACTTCAAGGTGAGTGGAGGGGTGAAACTGGATGGAAACTCTTGAAACTTATCAAACCGTGAAACTTATGTTCCCCAATTTGACCATAAGTATTTATGTTCACATATGTTCACATATGAAAATAGTTGACTGACGGATAATGTATCAGTGAATTATAGTATGGTCAGTAAACAATGTCAAACTTACATGTTCCCCAATAAAACTTTCACAAGGGATGATTCAATCCAACAGTGGCGAATATGGATTGTTCAGTTCCTGACTTGACAGAGCTATGAACTGATGATCCCAGTCGACAGCTGGGTGATCATGGTTTGTTGACATCCGAGGTCGAGTACGTGAAGAGAAAAACCAGCAACAAAGCCAAGATCGAGCAGTGCGCGTCCAGAAGTCACGAGTCGGAAAAAAAAAGACGGGAGATTATGACATATGTGTAATTTGTATTACATTATTACATCATCCAACAAGAATTGAATGTGGATTGTATTATAGTAAATTAAAATAAAGTGATGGGGTGACACTCGAAAAGAAATTCGGACGCTTTCAGGGCACTGAGAGTTTGAATCCTCAAACTGTCCGTGGTTGTTTTTTCTGTAGTCAGTGTCCATAGGTCTCCTCTTGGTGTCATTGAGTTTTGTTTTGGCAAGCAATCCACCACTGTAAAAAATGACGCCCTAGTGCACCCTATTTCCAGCGGAGCGTTTTTCTCCATTTTTTTCATTTTTTCTCGAAGATGACAGGTATTTCAACGGTCTCTTTGCAAAGGTTGGCCAGAAGGTGCTATTCTTGTAGGGCAAATGGCAGATTGAGGCATCCCTCGGTTTCGGACATGGCCACAGAATTTGGACCATGTGAGCAGATTGGATCATGCCG